CCTCCTTCTCTTTCTCTTTCTCTTTCTCCTTCTCCTTCTCTTATCTTTCTCTTTCTCTTTCTTTCTCCTTCTCTTTCTTTTTTTCCTTCTCCTTCTCTCCCTCTCCCTCTCCCACTTTTTCTTTTTCCTTCTCTCCCTCTCCCTGTTTTTCCCTCTCTCCCTCTCTCTCTTTCTCCCTCTCTCAGTTTCTTCCTCTCTCCCTCTCTTTTTCCCTCTCTCTTCCTCTCCCTCTCCCTTTCCCTCTCTGTTGCCTTTTCCCTCTACCTCACCCTTTCCCTCTCCCATTTACCACACAGTACCAAAGACAGCTCAAAGATACCCGTGCCAAATTATCTTCAGCATTATTAATCATGTGAGGAGGTACAATAAAATTAAGAGATATGTGGAAAAAAAAAAGGATTTTCAGTTTTATAAAAAATTTATAACTATGTGTTTATCGAACAAACCACTTACTTTGATATAAGTTTATTAGTCCGAGGTTTTGCTAATTTATACACCACATCACTGGTAAATCAAGTCCTCGAAATATTTGTTCTTTGATAGCAAAGTCTAGCCTCCTTTGTAACATTCTATGCTTTTATAGTTTTGTTAATAATGTACTTCTCTTTAAATAACCAAAAGGTCCCCCGAGGCAGCACTTCATGCAGTAGCTACGTGATACAGATCATCCCTCTGTCCATGGAAGCAGTTCATTGCAAGAGACACGCAAGGAAACAACTGAAGAAGAACAAATATTTAAAAGAAAATGTGAGGATACTGTACAGTACAAGATTTATAATAGAGATTTAAAAAATTGAAGGAAATATTATTTTACCTTGTCTTTCTAGGAAACAAAACTTTATGGTCATCTTGACATTTTTTAAAAAACATCTAAGTTTCATTCAGCATTCTTTATTGTATGATCCAGAGATGTGTCTTTTAAGTCATTACTAAGCATGGATTAGCTATAAAATCTAGAAAACAAAGTGCCATTGTCATTCCTTATTATTAAAATGGTTTAAATTTCTCTCTAATAATCAATCCTTTGATATGTATTTACCTTCTTGGCATCTTATAGTAGAAGGCTGATTTGAGCTTTCTACTGCTATTGGTACTGAGATAGGAGATATATATACTTGTGATATTAAATGCTCAGTGAAGGATACATACATACAGACATGCATATACTTTGTAAGAATCTCGTTGATAAAGGGGGTGGCCCAGACAAGATAGCCTGTCACTTCTCCCTTGAACACTTAAAATGTTCATCTTAGCACATAAGGGATGTATGGTCCACAATTAGGTTACTCTGCTCACATGGGGCAAATACTTGCATTTCAGCTCATTTTTCAACAGCAAAGCTCAATAGTTAACACTGTTCTCACATAAATCTCATAAATCCCACCTCACCAATCCCTTGCTCATTGTAATTGTGTGTTTGTGTGTGTGTGCAGGGGTGGGGGCTAGGAGATGGAGATTGAGGCCCAGTGTAGGGGATCAGCCCTACCTTGGATCTCAGCACTTGCCTCACCTAGTTTTGTATGGTCTTTTCTTCTCCCCTTTCCTTTTCCTTCTCTTCTTCATCCTCTTCTTCTGTCAACTTATCCTAATTGTTAATTCATTTCTACCCTTTTAGCCACAATACAGTGCCAGTGTTGTATGACCTTCGATGTCTAGCACATTTATTTATTTCAGTCATAGACCATTAACCATCCTCTCTCTAGCACCCTGTTTGACCAAATGAAAGTTGTTTGAATATCACACACTTAGATTTTTTTGATACCTTTCTGTATCTGATCCTCTGCATGCCCTACCAGGCCTCCCTTCACCCCAGCCAACCATCCTGCTCTTGGTCTGCCCCTTGGACTCATGCCTACTGCACCTGCATTTTCTCTGCCTGTCCTTACTGCCTCAAGAAACTCATCTCTGGACAATTCTCACTCATGTGTTAGCCTACAGACTTCCTCAATCCTCACTCAATCCTTTTTTTTTTTTGTAATTCTCACTCAAACTCCAGCACAATCACACCATCATACTAACTCTTTATTCTCATGCCTAGTCCCTTTACTTTCATACTTTTCCCTCTCTTCACAAAATATTCTGCCCATTTCCTGTAGTTGCTCCTTCATTTAGTAATGCTGGCCAATTTACAAATGTTTAGTGCAATTAATTAAATAAAAATCATACAAGAAAATATATGACCCGTACCTTTCAAGAAACGCTCTAATTAGTTTACAAAGTAATACATTTCATTACAGAAAATAAGTTTTCACAATGAATAAATTTCAATATGATAAAGGTCAGGCCATGAAGAGTAGAAGAAATGAAAATCATTGCAGATTCACATCTTTTGAAAAAAGACAAATATCTAGCCACCTGTGAATTTATTTAACAGTCAAGTTCCATAGAATATAAATATAATGATGTGTTAAAGTATAAAATGAATGAGAGAAAAAGACAAAGAGAGAGACAGAGACAGACAAAGAGACAGAGAGAAAGAGAGAGAGAGAGAGAGAGAGAG